ACAACATCCGATCACGCTGTGGATTGTGCGGCGCGCAGCATGGCTACTGAACAGGTATGCCACGCACAATGACGGACAAACAAGTTACCAAAAACGATGGCAAAAGGACCACAAAGCACCACTATGCGAGATGGCAGAAACAGTACAATACATGATACCAACAACAAAAGCACAACCCAAGGTGGAACCAAGATTCTTCAAAGGAATCTGGCTTGGCAGAGATACAATGACTGGAGAGTCAATAGTTGGCATCCCTGGCAAAGTCATCAAGGCAAGAACAATACGAAGACAGATCACGCCAGACAAGTACGACAAAGAACTACTGGATACTATCAAAGTGTATCCATGGAATTTGCCAACACTAACAATGGCAATTCCACCACAATTGCTTCTACCAGCTGACAACACCGCAAGCAGACAAGCAATTGGCACACAAGCCGACAGTACAGTGGAAGATACAAGCACACAGACAATACAAGAGACACCACTGGCACTACCAGCACGAGCAATACACCATCAGCCAATGGATACGACAATGGCAACATCACCATTGGCAACTTCACCAACAACAATGGCAAGACCACCACTGCCAATACCACCAGCAAGCAAGCGACAACACGAGGAGCCTACAGGTGAAGCACAATCCAAACAATCAAGGACAGCACAGTCCTCAACAGCAGCAAACCGAGGACAAGATGAAGAACAACCAAAAGCAAAGATGAGAATACAAGCAGTGACAATCACCACAAAGAAAGGTGACAAGGTCACCACAGCATCCTGTGAAGATGAACAAGAAGCAGACGTGGAGAGGATGCTACAAGAACCCTTCGTCTACGACATCGAAGGTCTTGATCCATTGAAAGTACAACGACAAGGAATGAAGAAAGAAGCACAATCGATGAAGACACGAGGAGTGTTCACAGGCATGAACTACAATGATGTCCCTGAAGAACACAAGAACAAGATCATAGAATCCAAGTGGGTTAACAAACCCAAACAAGATGAAGTGCGATGTCGCATAGTAGCAAAAGGCTACTTGGAAACAATCCAAGACCTTGACAACATCTATGCCAGCACACCAATCTTTGGGATCTTACGTATCCTACTGACAATGGCACAGCACAACCACTGGACAATACAAGCAGGAGATGTGTCAACAGCATTCTTGCACGCACCAGCAGCAACAGACAATCTTTACATGTGGCCACCAACAGAACTATACCCAAGTGGTCACAACACAACCACAGTGTGGAAGCTCAACAAAGCAATCTATGGACTACGATCAAGTCCAAAATCCTGGCAGGATCACTTTGCACAAGTCCTACAACAAATGGGACTGTCTCGACTGACAAGTGAACCCAACGTGTACAGAAACAATGAACAGACAATGTTTGTCATGGTCTATGTAGATGATCTACTATTCTTGGGACAACAGCAAGAAGTCGACAAGACTTTCAAAGAAGTACCAAAGCATGTACTACTACGACCAACCGGCACATTGGGAATTGGTCAGACAATCCAACTCCTGGGCAGAGACATACACAACAATGGAGACTACTTTGAGGTGAGCCTCAAGCCAGAATACATCACAACATTACTGAAAGAGACGAAAATGGAAACAAGCAATTCAGCATCAGCTCCACGGACGGCAACCCTGAAACAATCCACAAACGATGAGGCACCTTTAGATGCACAAGAACATGCAGACTACAGGAGAGCAGTAGGAAAGTTTCAATGGCTGACCTACACAAGACCAGACATCAGCTTTGCAACAAAAGAACTGGCACGAGACCTGCAACAACCAACACAACAAAGCCTACGCAAGGTGAAACATCTCTTACGATACCTCAGGGGAACACAACACTACAAAATGATCCTGGGGGCAACACATACACCGCAAACAAAGGAGCCCAATAGACCTCAACATTTATGTCGATGCGGACTGGGCAGGATGCCCAAGCACAAGAAAATCAACAAGTGGATTCATCGTGACAATGATGGGATCCGTGGTACAATTTGGAAGCAGAACACAAGCAGTAGTAGCACTATCATCAGCAGAATCAGAGCTTTATGCAATTGGCACAGGAGCACAAAAAGGACTACATATAGCAAACTTCATCAAGGAAGCGACAACAACAAAGGTGAACATCCGCATACATACCGACAGCACAAGCGGCAAGAGCATAGCAACAAGAATTGGCTCATCAAAGAAAGCAAAGCACATTGACCTAAAGTACCTCTTCATACAACAACTGGTACAAAGCGGGATACTGTCAATACACAAGATCAGCACACATGACAACCCAGCAGACACACTGACAAAGTATGTCCCGGCAAAGGTGCTTAACAAACACCTCTACATGGCGGGCATTCAACGCCCACAACACCACAACTGAACAACGGCCGTACAAACAGTTTCACAACCATGGCAGCATCTATGCGCGTACAATACACACACGGGGGCATCAAGCCATGGCACACTACTTTCGCTACTATGTGCATACTATGTCATAGACAATATGTACTACAAGATTTCAGTCTCACAATAATGGATCCAATCTTTCTTTCCGTCGTTTCGGAGAACAATTCGATGAACAACGTGTTTGAAGTTTTGCTTTCAGAACTTGAGTGACAATGCATGTTTGGTTGACAATTTGTTGACAATTTTTTTGACCGCAGCCGCTTTTCAAGCTCACAAGCTGTGACAATTTGGACCGACTTCCTCGAGAACAATCTCAAGGGCATCAATGGCAGTTGAGATGACAATTCCCGACTACCACAATCAGCGCAGGTTGCCAACGAACTCGACAATCTCGCTGTGGGAAGACAGGGCAATCATCTACAATGAGGACAAGATTGAAAGCAAGATCCTGCTGCCCTCGAACTACAAGGACAGCGCTTGGAGCGATGTCCTCGACAATATTACGACTTACTGGTTTGCAGCTGTCACAAAGGCATACAAACATGTTGAATGGAAACAACGAGATCGACAAGCTGCCCGGCAAGGTGCGAAAACCGGGGAATTGGGAACAATTCATTGTTCCCACAACAGAGGAAGCAATTCAGTGGCTCGCATACCATCAATCGATGGGCCACACAATGACGAGCGAAGAGACAACCGTTTTGGCAATAGCCTTTGATGCGCACAATATGGTGCGTCACATGTCACAAAAGATGTTGACATCATTCCAGAGGGGATACAGCGTCCAAGTCCTACAAGTTCATGCGCCCTATGACTATCACTTCACAGAAGCTGAAAAGAACCATCTGTGGGCGCTCTACCTGAACTACAATGCGGCCAACAAGTTCGACAAGTACAACTGGTCGAATGGCTGGTTTGGAACTATGGCCACACAATGCACGTGAGGTCAATGCTGACCATTTCAGAAGATTCGCCTCATCATACATACAATCTTTGGGATGGCCTTGGCGCTTGGACAATTTGGTCAGTCCCAGCTCCCGCCAGATGTACAATTGGCCCTTGGAGTGTACAAGGCGGACAAGAAGATCGACACCTACCATGTGACAATCCCAAAGAGGCATCAACGAGGTCATCCTGACCACAGCTCCTACATCAAGGAGCGTGACAGGACAATTGACCTGGAGAAATCTGAGGACGAGGAGGAAGAGAAAGGGACAAAACGTCCCAGACAATCCTCAGAAGCCCACGAAAGTCAGATGGACGACATGGAGGGCTAGAACAATGGTTCAACAAACTGCTGATCTCCAGCTATGACAATACCACACGCACACTACGATGAGAAGGGCAACAATACTGGAGAGACATGGCAGAAAAGATGTACAGACTTGTCTACAATGCTTGAACTGCTTTGTACAATAATGTTCCTTTTCTGCTTCAACAATGTTTGTATTGATGGTGTGATTCAACAATGAATCAAACCAAGGGACGGTGTCAAGATACAAGTTCCTTTACAATAGCATACCTGCTCTGTCGTATTGTTCATGTACAATTGCCTGGTGCTATACAATGCACCCTGGATCAAAGGCCTTGAGCCTAGCCTAGCTGAGCCCAAGGACAATTGCCAAGAGGAAAACAATACAGTGACGTGCACAAACAAACGACAAACAAACAGCTGCTGAATTTTACAAGGGAGAGCGAGAGAGAGAGAACCAAGAACAAGAAAAAGAAGAGAAAAGGAAGAGAAGAAAAGAAAAGTGAAGAGTCACAAGCCTCCGAGGATGAACGCCGAATGAACCGCAAATTCCAGGATGCTTTCCGTCAGAAACTGTGTGTTTGAGAACGCAAAAAGCTGAGTATGTCCGGCGCAATCTTCATTACACCTAACAAGCCTTCAGGAAAAGAGAAGACAGCAGAGAAGAGACAAGCAACCAGAAGGAAGAAAAATGACTGGGGTGCAAAAAAGGTTGTGAAAACTTCCTTCTACTGCGTGGTAGCAAAAAACACTGGAGATCGGAGTTGATTTCAGTGGCTCTGCAGCATAGAGCCAGCATTCTCATACGGAAATCTGGCAAAAGCACTCTTAAAAGTATGTGAGCACAGCGCCCAAAAAGGCATACTGTCCACAAAGCAAGAGATTGAAAGTCGCCAGGTCAAATCCAAGAGTCATTGCAGACGTTTACAGCTCTCACCATTGGCATCTTCATTGGCCATCCACCAATGGTGCGCACCCTGCTCAAATAGTGACTCCAAGGGTTTCAGACACACACACACACACAGCAAGGTGCATTCTAGCCTTGCTCAACCAAGTCGGAATTGGTGGCTGTGCACAATGTATTGTATTTGCCAGGATTGAACTTGGGGCTTCAAGAATGCATTAAATTTGACAAGGACAATAGATAACTGACGCCAGCTAGGCCAGCAAAAGCTGGTAGTTGTATGTCATTGTATTTCTGACTTTCAAACGAGCTGGATGGATCAAGGTAGGCAGATCCTTGTGTTCTTTCTTCAACGCAACAGGCGCATTGCAACTGATCTGAATACACGCTTCCATACCCCCACTCGGTTTCGCCCTGGCGGCTTCTGCAACTCTCGCAATGCCCTCGTTTTCCTCAGCAGCTGCAGCAAGCGGATGATACGCCCGAGTCGCAGCAGTCGCAATATGCCAATCCTCAAGAGTGTTCAGCAGGCAGCAAAACTTGCCCTTGCAAACTTCAAAGCTGTGACTTCAGCAAGAACCGCCTCTGATTCATGAATCCGTTGCAGGCCTGGCTGCCACTTCTGTAGATTCCACCAGCAAATCAAGGATGTACTCCACACAGCCACAAATGATCACACCTAACTACAGGTCTTTGGTGGCATGGTGGACAAAATCGAAAACCAGTCTGACTATGACAGGTCCTAAACTGAACACAAGGAAGTAGCGACTAGGCCTAGTAGAATGAAAATTGAGGTCTAGTCAGGGAGCCTATCCGACATGGCTGCGACATGGCGACAATTTCCCGGACGAGGCCAAGGCGCCCAAATCCAGATAGAATGCCCAATCTTTCAGCGAGGCCCATCCTGCCACTAGAATTTCTGATGCCTTTTGGACTTGGTGAGTTTTTGTCAAGGAAAAGATGGCCTTGCGCAAAAACTACAAGGACAAGTTCCAGTGTGTACCTGAGAGGCGGGTACGATCATCCATGTGAGCAGCTTCGAAAACCCCTATTACTTTTTTGTATAATCCAGGTTTGCTTTCGCAGAGCTTTCGCGGAGCTTTCGCGGTCTGCATTCTGGCTTTCGCGGAAGGTGTGGTGTTATGTGGGGCTTTCGCGGCGGCTTTCGCGGCGATTCGTTTTCGATTGGGAAATTCGATTGGGATATTGTACAATAAAGTGATTGATCTATATATAAGTTATCCTTAGGGTGGTCAAAACTAAACAAATTTCTTTCCGGCAACATCCTGGCACAAGGAGTTGTAGCAGCACCGTTCAAGTATTATTGTTGTCATGAGAAGAGGAGGAAAACTTGCTGAAACTTTTTGCTGGGGCCAGATACCTTTCCCGGATATTTTCGACTTTCGCGGTTCTTTCGCGAGGCTTTCGCGCGGCTTTCGCGTAAACTCGTCTGGGCTTTTCGATTTTCCCCTGAAACACTTGCTCTTCAGTGCTGCTGCTGCTGCTGCTGCTGCTGGTGGCTGGTCTGCTGCGGCTGGCTGGCTGGCTGGCTGGCGGGCCTGCTGCGGCTGCCTGCATAAAGATATGGTCACCCACATAAACAACACGACATGCACAAGAAATTCGACTTTCGCGAAAGCTTTCGCCACGCTGTTCTTCTGGGATTCTTTCGCGGGGCTTTCGCGAACCTTTCGCGACCTGCGTTTTGGCTTGCGCGAAAGAATGTGAGATTACAGTTTGCATACTTTTCATCATAGAGGTTTTTGAAGCTGCTCATGTGGTTCAGAGCCTCTTATTTGACCCTAGCCCCTCGAACTAAAGGCGTTGTTCGTTTCTTGGATGTACAAACCATGCCTCGTTGTACATGGGAAGGCACTGTTAAAGTTAAGTGTTTGGTTTCAAGAGGCGTTGTTCAATGGGCTCGTGCGCAAGCCATTTTCCAAAAACACAACAGCCCCAAGTAAGTCAGCTGACATCCAGAACGCAAATTATTGGGAAAAGGTTATTCGCCTAGCAGCAACATGCAACCCATTCTTCCCGCACGAGACACCATCAAAACAACCGCGGCATACCAAGACACCATGAAGACATGACCGAGACCTTGCCAAAACAAACACTCCTGTCACACAGAGACAGAGACACAACCGAAACAACTGCAGCACAACGGAGGCACCACAAAGACACCACCAAGAAGTGAAACAGACACTACCACATAGATATTCTAGTGGGGTGCCGAGAACCTCTGAAAGAGCGTGATCCTGAGGTTTGCTGGTTCCAAGCAGTTATGTCCCAAATAGCACCTGAACCTGCTTGTTGAACTCCAGCTTCAAGGCTCTGCCAAAATGTTAGAAGTTTGAATCCTATTTCTTCAAATGTGCTCAAGATTATTGACTGTTTTGCTGTTTGGAAGCGAGCGTCTGTCTTCCGTGTTTGTATGCATTCAAACCTCTGTGGTTTAAGGTGCGAGTTTTTGTTTTGTTTTATTTTGCCTTCATGTTTGCTGTGGGTGTGTGAATCTATTCCATTTGGACTTTTTACTTTAAAGGATTTGAAGGAGTGTGTTTCCAAGGTGTTAAACTGCTGTAATGATATATACACATGTTGTTCAAGCTGCCGTGTCGGTTCAATGTGTTTGCAATGTGTGTGATTTCTTAAGGCTTCTGAGAGCCAACTCTTCAATCCAGAGGATGTGATATTATTCATATGTGTCAAGAAAAAGGATGGAAAAGTCAGACATGCTTTTGCGCCCAAGCAACAGCATTAAACAGCATGCTGCACCCACTTGTAGAACTTGAGGCACATGTTGTAGCTTGGCTCTGGCGTCAATATCGCTGCAATTGCAGTAAGCATCGAATAAAACGACCAAAGCCATAAACTGATTGAAACACCTCAGACTTTGTCTTCATGTCATGAAAACTCCAATTTGGGAAATTCCCTTTCATGGCCATGGCGGTTCAAGTTCACACTGCGCTTGTCCGACAATGAGTTGTTGTATCGGAAACCAATAGAAGGGCAGGCAACATGCTTGTAGACCTAATGTTAACAAGAAGCTAGTAGTAACAAGTGCATCGCTACTAGTAACAAGTGCCTTACGAGTAGTAACAAGAAGCTACTAGAGTGACCGGCATCTTCAACTTCAAGAGCTCACAGCAGCTCCGGCCAAAACCGACGACCGCGACCACAACGACGACCACGACGACAACGATGACTACAACAGCATGACAACGACTGCAATGGGTTTGATGTTTGACACGTTCCATGAAGAATGTATGTTATGTCGTGAAGCTCCTCAGAATGAGCGATGCATCGAAAGCATGCAAGCAAATGCTCGCTGAGGAGTCTACAACGGTGTGGCCACCCCAGCAACCGCCCTCGCGTATTAATGAGCATATCTGGCAATAGAGGACATGCAGTAACACCAGGATCTAACGAACCCCTGCACTTCGGACTTGCTTTGGCTAGTGGCCAGATCGTAAACGCTATGCCGAGTATCGTATTGTTGGTCAGGCGCCTGGCTGACCTGCGTAGTTTGTCGTGCGTGTCGAACTCCATGCTTGATTCTTGGGCTGTCTTTGCTCGGATAAAATCACCATGAAGTGCGGCACCTGCAAACCAGTTGCAACATGGGAAACATAGCATAAGCTGTGCATCAACACTGCCGTGCAATTGCAAGCGTGCCTTGAAGTGAGTTGCTTCAGTGTGACCCTTGCACAATCTTGCACACCTAATCAGCATACAGTACCTCCTCACCCTCCCCCACCATGTAGTATTTAAAATGATGAAAAAATAATACAACAATGACAACATATGACAACAGCATGTGAGGCGTGGTGAGATGAGGGAAACAAAGTGAGATGAGGTCAAAGACATGAAGCTCGCATGAAACACAAAAGCAATGATGAAACATGCTGCATGCTAAGTGATCCGTGCGGAGCGTGTGCAAATTTTGGACGTATGCGATCATCAAAGAGAGTTCCGGTTGGTAAAATTTTGAACTATAAATAAGTAGATATACAGTAGTTGCATCAGAGAGTTGTGCATACTTCGCCACATGCAAGATGAATGAAGCGGCAGGCGCGGACCGTTAACCAAAAACACTTCCGGGCGCGGCCGGCATGCACCTGAACACATCCATCTGCGGGAACAAAAAACGAATGCAAAGGGCTTCTATGAAGCAAAATACACATTACACATCACAGGCCGCCACCACATCACAAGTCAGCACCAGCCAATCAGGACTCCTTTAGCTAGGTGTGTTTCTGAAGTTGTTCCTGGGGTAAGCCTATATGAGAGCACAAAATCTGCAGCAGCGCTACAGCAGGACACGCTAGCGCGCATAAAGGCGGAAAGAAGGTATAACAAGTCACCACAGTACACATCACTACGCTGCACGTCACTGCACTGGACAAACCACCTCGATACATCTTACCACATCACAAGCCACCAGAAATCACCATGTCAAGTGCCACCAGTGCTCAAATACTTCCACGTCGTTTGTGAGTGGACGAACCCCTGCTTTTTTCTCGCGTCCGTTTCCGTGAAGCCATTGCTGGACGTGATCCTCGATCTGATCCACTGTGTTTTTGGGGCCCCGCTCTGGACAACCTCAAGCTTTCCACTTGCACAGCCACAGAAATATTGCACAAGTGTCACTACCAGCTTGAAACTGAAGTACGTGCAACTTTTGATCGTGCTCTGGAGGTCGAACTCTTTGGTGTTGCAACCCAAACAGACATGATGGTTAGAGCGCACATACTGTCAGGTAGCCTTCACCACGGCTGCCACTTTGAACCGCCATATGAAACAACACTTGCAGGGGCTCTCGAAGCTTCGCCCAGTTTTTGCGTACGCTCGTGACCCTTTGCATGGCATGCCCATCTGTGCACACTGCCCTCGACAGTTCTATGACTGGACACCTTTGAGAAGACATATTGAATGCAATTCGTGTCCTCTGCTTCAGGAGGTAAAGGCTGCCAGATCTTCATCAGCATGTCACCAAGCTGGATCAAGTCTACCAGCACAAGACTTGGGACGATCTGCCCAAAGAGCCTGACCTCATTGACTTTTTGAGCTCCAAGCGCCACGTATGCAAGAGGCCATTGCCCACTGCCGTCTCCGGGACGACAGAGTTCAGGAGAACCTCATGAAGCTGACAGCAAGCTCGATCTGGAAGTTGCTGGCCGCCGCGATGAGATCTCACCAGCCGCGCTGCATTGGCCACCACGGTGCAAACGGGCATAGGGCATGGCACGGGCATGGCACAGGCAACAAGGGCAAAGGACACCCTACTCAGACGAAGACCGAGCCATGATCGCCACTCTCAAAGCTGACTTCGCGAAGGCCGTTTTGCAATGGCGGTTTACGAACGCCACCATGAGCGCTATGTCAATGCCACGTTTGCTCTTTTTTGGAGCGACCACACCCACGGTGCTTACTCAGCGAGGAGCTCATGAAGGGTTAGTTCATGAGTTGTTTGCGTGTCTGGATGAACCATGTCAGCTCAGTCAGCTGCCGGCACCCCAGCCTCTGTTCACGAAATGGGTGCGTCAGAAACCCAACAGTGTGCCTCTGAATTTCTCTTCTACCTCCTTAAGTGGTTAAATCTGCCCTGCATTGACCGAACCTGACCTCCACTATGGAGGGACTTCATACTTCGGATCAAGGTGGTGCACACGCTCCACTGAACTTTAACTGGTTGGCGGACCTGGACCAAAAACAGTTGACTTTGCAGCACATTGTGGACACTTGGACTTACTCCCTTGGCATGCACACCGGCCTGACAGGTACGCCTGACCTGGCGACCATCATGTTGGACCGCACCACGCCTTTTTTGGGAAAGAATGCACTCACTGACCCAGCTGTTTACTTTCAGCAGTGTCTGAACTTGGCCAGGACCACAGCAAGTTCGTGATCCGTAGCATCATTAGTCACCAAGGTTCTCAACAGGCTGGGGACTATGGCCCTTCGAGACCCGCACACCCAGAGCTGGTACTGTACTTGGCTGATATGGAGCCCAACCGGTCTTGGATGCTTACATCATGAGCCGAGAGGAGGGTTCGACTGAAGCCATGTCAGACGTGGCACTTGGTTCCCTTCTCACGATGCTGATGGGCTGAAAGCCTCTCAGAGGATCCAATGTGGTTGGCAGCCCAACTGGCTGAAGCTTGGTATCTCGAAAGGTCGAAAGGCCGAAATCAGGTTGTCAAACATCATTACCTGACCCTTCATCACCTGTGAAGTCATCACACCTCTTCATCACACCCTTGATACTTGAAACTTCCGCTCACCGGTACGCACCCATCTCAATTCCTCGCGCCTGGATTGCTCCTCTTCCTGCTGCTCTTGCTGCTGGAGGGCCCCACATCAGGCTCGGAGTCGCTCAGGCATTGACCTCATCTTGGCATGGAGTCAAACTCAACAAACTCAACCCTCGGAGGGAACCAACACATAGCAAATCAGAAGAGGTCACCTTGCAAGAAATATCTGAGAAAAAGGACTGCGTGCCGTTCTGCAAGGGCTTGCATGGCACTAGTTAAGTTACATCATTTCAAGAATCAACTTGATTGACTAAATTGAGCGACGTGCTCACGGACTTATTTCACATCATCTTGCCGGTGTCGGTCGGAGTGGACGAACTCAGCACCAACCCTTTCAGATGAAACTAGCACCAGCTGCGATGCTTCCAGCAAGATACAGCACTAGAACTACAGATTTGCAATGACTTCACCGTTCGCTGATTTGGCCACACTTTGCTGTACCTGTGGGCAGGCTCTGCCTGTTCTTGGCACTGCCGCTCCTCGTGTGTCACTCAATTCTTGTGTCACACATAATAAGTATCAGAGAAGCAGGCACAATGTGACGATATGCTGATCCCACGACACACCGGCCGAGGGCATAGCACAGAACTGCACAGATGCGCCGTTTGGCTGATGTGCTGCTACAGCAATGCGTAGACGTGTATGGTCCTTTTCCCTTGAAAATTCAATTTGTTTAGCCTGAAAATTGAGTGTTTTAGTGTAGCGGTGCAAATTCAAATGCCAAACTGAGGAACCTCGTGCGAGATAGCAACGCTGCTTGTGGTCACACTGCAAACATGGACATGAAAGTCGGCCAAAACGTTTGTGGGTGTCAGCCGGCAAACATGTTGATGCCGGCACTGGCCAGGACGCCACTTCCGCCCCAACATCAATCTGGTTGGCACAAATACCCTGCGGGGGTTGGCCGACTTCAGTTGTCAGGTTGGCCCACTTCGACTGTGGGTTGGACGACTCATGTTGGCTGACTCCCGGACCTGCTGGCTGACACCATTTACGTTCGAGCCAGCATCAGCTTCTGACACCCACTTGAATGATCTTGAATGTAATGTTCTTGCATGTAATTGTGCCTTTGGCCTAAACACCTCGCTCGAGAAGAGCACTTTGATGTGAAACATCCACATCTCGTCCTATAGAAAAGCTGCAAATCCTTTATGTTGCACTAAACATGAAGTATGTCTCTCACAGCTTCACTTCACTGGATGCTCACAGCGTTGCAGAGGATACCGTCCAAAAAGAAACAAAAACATCCAAGGCCTTCAAGGCTGCTCTTAAGCATCTTAAGCTAGGGATTCGGCTGCTGATGTTGGATGAGACGGCAAACGTCATGGCCAAACTCAGTCTGTTGCTGGTTACCTCTGAGCTAAGCCTGTGTTAGGCACTATTGTATGAAGGAATGGATGAATGGATGAAATATGAAATTCTGCATGCTGCGATGCTCTTAAACTGTGCTCTATGATTTATCTGCACTGCGCGACTCAGAAGCAACTTGGCTAACTCATGTCGATTAGATGTCTTTATAAGCAAGTTGAACAACGAGTTGAAGCAACGGCCAAGTGTCGTGAATTTCGGACTGTCTGTTTGTCTGCTAAGCAACAGGTAGTTGCACGGGCACACTCCCTTTGGAGACTGCCCAAGGGGAACTGTCACGCAGCGTCCTCGCAGGACTAGACTAGGTCTGGATGTGGGTCAAAATTGAAGAGTCAGAGAACATGACAAACCAATTGGGGCCAAGTTGGGTCTCAAGGTTTTGACCCAGACCAATCTCTGTCGGCACGGCCGTGTGGATCGAGTTCACTCCTTGTTGGAGATGAAGCTCAAGCATCAGTAAAATTTTCAATTGGGAAAAAAACAGTAAAACGAGCAATAGATAGTACGTCCCTCGCCAAGACCGGAACCCTTTGCATTTTGCAAGCGGTAGGCTGCTGGCAATCATGAGACAGTACTTGGAAGATGCATGCATGCCAGTCTGAAGGTGTGGCTTCCCAAAATGGCCACCAAACCTGCCATGCTGGCTGGGGATGCAAACCAGTAATGACTGGGCACAAAATTCTGGCTGAACTGTTCGAATTAATGGCATGCCAACACCCACCGCAGTCGGTTGGCCAAAATCGGCATGTGACAAGTGAGCATCTTTTCTCACGTGATGTGTTCTGGCATGTTCTGGCGATTCAAAGCCTTAGCCTTAGCGATGAGCTTGTGGAGCTCGTGTCACAGATAACAATAAGACTTGTGTTTTGTTTTGTTCCTTTCTCCTTTTCCTTTCGTTGTGTTGCTTTTTCTTCTGACTTTGGGACCTGTCTTTCTTTTGTCCTTTCTTTTCTTTTTACTCTCAGCAGTGTTATTGATAACACAGTAAACTCAAGCGTTCAGTCCTTGGGCCAAGACTGTCTTTGCGTTCTGGAAGGGTAGGCCACTTGGGCCGCTTGGGAAATTGGAAACAGCGCAGAATGCCTCTCTGGCTTCCAGCTCCTGGAAAAGGTTACACATCGTCACATCGAGATGATACATGTTTGATTCATGTGGGTTTCTTCTCCTGGTGAAGCTTGACACTGATCAAGGAAACATCAAGGAGGGAGACTTGCATCAGTTTTTCCCACAACAGAAACTGGTAACACTTTAGCATTCAGACAGCTCAAAGTTGAGAAAAATTGCATAATGCGGGAAATGAAAGTGACAGTAGATTCCTGAGGCGGCTTCGAATGTTCAAAGTCCATTAGGACTTGCCTGATGATGCCCTGAGCACCGCTGAAAAGATGGGATCATCATGATGATGAAAATGTGTACTTAATTTTCCTGACTGAACAACTGACATTACTGCAAGTATTATCGTATCAACCTGGATCCTCACCTTTCAGCCATAACACTAGTGCAAATATAATTCGGCCGAAACATGGTGTGCTTCTGATAACGCATATTTAGGTAGCCCATGCTCCCTTTGACCACTTATCTTTTTCCCACCCATGTAGTCATGTAGTGTTTAATCATATGGAGGTCGTTCCACTACAGGTGCTAGTGATTGAAACGGTCTGAGACAGCCAAATCAGAAAACGCTAGCGCGGTCCCAGGAATCGAGGCAGGGGTTGAGAGCCTTTGCGGCAAGGGCACGAGTCTTAGACAATTCTGTTGCTTGCTATCCCCAGTCTCAAGCACTTTACAAATTGAAGGTCTTGGCTTCAATAGGTGGATTCCAATTAGCCTGGTGTCACAAAAGAAGCGTGTGTGTGTGTGTGTGTGTCCACCCCTGGAAAAAGGGCTCCTTTCACCATTTCCATCAAGCAGGGGCACACGGCATCCATGACCTACCGTGTGCAACGAAGCTGCGGTCATGGATGGGAAGGGAAGGCTGATCACCTTCCTGTACCTGCTTTCAACACACTGACTCCAATGGTCCACCCTGCCGCTGTTTGTTGGTTTCCATGGTTCTTCATGCCTCCACCCCCCAAACAGGTTTCTTTCAGCAGCTGCGCCGCCGATTTGATTGCTGCCGCCTTTGTGACAACAATGTTAAACCTTTCAAGTGCTCGGACCCATGCACCTTTCTGTTCTCTCACCTTCCTTCCCAACGTGATACTTGCATTAACTGAAATCCAAGTTCGAAGTGTGTCCTGCTCAGCCGTCCCACTCGGGTGCTGAGTGTGATCCCCTTCACAGGGGCGCTGTTTTTGCATGGGAAAGCAACCACCCCAACGCTCCACCGATCACTGGAACATCACAGGAAGGCACCGACACCCTCACTGAATCAACCGCCACACCGGCCGCCGGGCCAAAAAACGGTTCTTTCAGATTCCGAACTTCTGATCTCAGATTTCAGCATTCAGTTTTCTTTTCATGTTTTCCAATCAGGTGCGTGTTTCCCTGTTCTCAGATTTCAGCATTCAGTTTTCTTTTTTCGGATCCGTTTTTTCTAGTCTGAGCATACTTGACGGCTAAGTAATCACATGCCTGCACTGCTAAGTATTCACAGGCCGGATGAATTCATTATGCACAACCCCCCCCTCCCCAGGCCTCTGTTGCTATCCCACCTGCTACTCGGGAAACAGAAGGAAATCGCACTCAACACACTTGTGTGTTGGTGCCTTTCCTTCTGTTTCTCCTAGCTATTGCTAGCTACCCGGGCGGTGTAAGACGAATGTCCCGCTCGCCTTCTACTTTCGTTTAACTAAGTGGGCCTCGTAATTACACCTACTTTTCTTTCTTGCCCTCTTAGTCTGCTCTTTTTTCGTTGCTTTTTCTGTTTTTCTAAGGCTTTTTAGGTGTCTACTAGTTCTTCGTTGCGCCAACAATTTGGCGCTTTTTGTACAAATGTTCCCCTGGGAGTCAGGACGCTACTGGAGGCCCCTGGCCTTACTACTACTTTGACCGCGCCGAAAAACGGCTCTGTGTGTGTGTATCCACCCCTGGGCGAAAGGTTTTCTTCCACTGGTTCAACGGTAGGGGGTGTTTTGGAAAAAAGCGCCGAAGCCGGCGATCTGTGTGTGTCCACCTCTGGAAAAAGGGCTCCTTTCACCATTTCCATCAAGCAGGGGCACACGGCATCCATGACCTACCGTGTGCAACGAAGCTGCGGTCATGGATGGGAAGGGAAGGCTGATCACCTTCCTGTACCTGCTTTCAACACACTGACTCCAATGGTCCACCCTGCCGCTGTTTGTTGGTTTCCATGGTTCTTCATGCCTCCACCCCCCAAACAGGTTTCTTTCAGCAGCTGCGCCGCCGATTTGATTGCTGCCCCCTTTGTGACAACAATGTTAAACCTTTCAAGTGCTCGGACCCATGCACCTTTCTGTTCTCTCACCTTCCTTCCCAACGTGATACTTGCATTAACTGAAAATCCAAGTTCGAAGTGTGTGCACACCTTGGATTCAGAGGCTACCCTTTGGCAGTCTTTTCCTTGTGTGCACGGGAGTCATGATTGTGGGACCGTACTCAACGAAGCTACCACAATCATGGGATCGACCTCTTCAGGCTGTTGCAGGATGATTCAGGTCGGCAGATGTGAATTCGCCGCTCACTATCCGTCACTATCGTTGCACTTCGAAGTTTTCTTGCAGTTTTGGAAGCACTGGGCCTTGAGAATTTTGTGAATCACAAGTCATACGCAAACGGCCCTACTTGTACTTCCAGCTGGCTTTCTTACGTTTTCACTTAGGTGGGCGCACGGCAAACCGCATTCAGTTCCATACGCAATTTCCATGCCAGCCCGGGGTGTGTCCCCTTTGGCCTTGCTGAACAGGGGTTCGCAGAGCTGTCCACAGCAAATGGAATAGGCTTATACCAAACGTTGACTTGTCAATTTTTTGCGCTTGAGCAAGCTTAAAAGGCCCAGAGTAGCCCACAGCGGGCGTATCAGCCAGTCACTTTGACAAGGTTTCATTTGTTTTTGACCCTCCCTCTTTCTTTTCATGTTTTGTCCGCCTTCATGTCCGGCCATTTCATTCCGTTCTTCCTTTTGCGCGCAGCGCACATCGGTCCGGCCAACCCATCCCCCGGGATCGCGCACCTCCGGCGGATCAAGACGCGGGCCTTTCTCCAAGCGCCCGGCATTTCTTCATTTAGGCTTCTTCAGTCCCGAACCATTTCTTCCCGAGTGTGTGTGTGTGTGTGCGTGTTAACACCTGTCTCTAAGGTTTGTAGCTGGTTAGTCTGCCGTAGGTTCCACTAGAAGGCTGGGTGCTACTAGTAGCTTCTGGCCTTGCTACTAGGAACCAAACTGAAACAAACACAGCGCGAGTCAAAAAAAGAGGCAGGGGGATGCCGGGGATTTCCATGGTCGGCATCCAACGAAGACACCATGGATTTCCTGTGACATGAGTCACGGACGCCTGACTCACGTACCTGCTAATTTTTAAGTCCAAGGCAGCGTTCAGCAATAGGCAATCCAGGAAAACAAAACTTGTTAAACATCTTCAACTCGGCGGACCTCTTCACCTTTCCGTTCGGCATTTTGCAGTTACATCAAGTCAAGTGCTAATGAGTGTAAAGTGGAACTTCATTCTGATCCTAACTCTTGCGAGCAACCATCTACGTGTGTATCGCCACAGAGTCCCACTGAGGGCTGTGGTGTGATCCCCGTCGAGGGGCGCCGCATGTGCGCAGACCCAGATCCTGGGGGATCAATTCCGATTCTTTCGTCTCTGCTTTGGGACTTCACTCTGAAATTTCCTTGATTGCCTGTTCTGCACGATACCACTGATACTATGCCGCAGGGCTCACTGAGACTTACGCTCGTCAGGATTTGCACTTCCGGGCATGCGTCTAAGTATTCACCTGTACAGTCTGCACGTCTAGGTACTCACAGGCGGGGCTTCGGACTCAGACATGTCAGCGCATGCGCTTTTCATGCTCTTGGGTTCTTTCTCTCTTTCTGTTGCTTTTCGTTTCTTGAGGCCTTTCCTTAGGTTTCAGGCACCTTTCAGACAAGGGTGCGCCGGCCAAAATCGGCTTGACTTGAATGTCAATGATGGCAAGGCCTTCGGGCCACCCTATCCCACCCTCCCCCCGACCTCCCTGGCCCCGGGCCTCCGTTGCTATCCCACCTGCTATTTAAGGTAACAGAAGGAAATCGCACTCAACACACTTGTGTGTTGGTGCCTTTCCTTCTGTTTCTCCTGTCCTACTTCTAGCTACCCGGGCGGTTCAAGACAAAAGTCCCGCTCGCTAACTACTTTCGTTTAACTAAGTGGGCCTCGTCACTACACCTATCTTTCTTTCTTGCCCTTTTCGTTTGCTCTTGTTTTGTTTCTTTTTCTGTCTTTCTAAGGCTTTTTAGGTGGCCAGTAAACCTCCGGCGCGCCAATATTGGCGCTATGTGCGCAAAGTTGTTGCACTAAAAATCGTTTCATGTAAGGGATACAGAGCGCCGATAGCGGCACAGTGTGTGTGTGTTAACACCTGTCTCTAAGGTTTGTAGCTGGTTAGTCTGCCGTAGGTTCCACTAGAAGGCTGGGCGCTACTAGTAGCTTCTGGCCTTACTACTAGGAACCAAACTGAAACAAACACAGCGCGAGTCAAAAAAGAGACAGGGGTATGCCAGGGATTTCCATGGTCGGCATCCAACGAAGACACCATGGATTTCCTGTGACATGAGTCACGGACGCCTGACTTACGTAATTGCTAATTGTTAAGTCCAAGGCAGCCTTCAGCAATAGGCAATCCACGAAAACAAAACTTGTTAAACATCTTCAACTCGGCGGACCTCTTCACCTTTCCGTTCGGCATTTTGCAATTGCATCAAGTCAAGTGCTAATGAGTGTAAAGCGGGACTTCATTCTGATCCTAGCTCTTGCGAGCAACCATCTAAGCGCGTCACCCTCCGTTTCTAGGAGTTTAAACTCGTTCAGTCTGCAGGGGCGTCAGGCTCGACACACCTACCTGACGCAACGAAGCTATGTGTGTCGAGGGAAGTGAGAGCTGATCACTCTCGTGCACCTGCGACCAACACATTGACTCCACTGGTTCCCCCTGGCCGCTGTTTTTTGTTTTCATGGTCCTTCCACGATAGACCCCGAGACCGAGTTTTTCCCCATTGTGCAGCTGCGCCACCGCCGCGTTTCAGCGATTTCTGAGCGATTTCAACACCTCTGTTCAACATCTAAAATTTTTCAGACTCACTCACCTTGTCGTTCCATCGTCCTTTTTCGTGCGCAATTGAGTTCACGGAAAACCCATTGTCTAAGTGTGCGCCGCTCTGCCGTCCCACTTGGGTGCAGGGTGTGATCTCCCGCAAGGGAGCGCTGAAACCATCGTGGATCACATTTTGATTCAGCGTTTTTCTGCACGCGTTGGATTCTCACTCTCTGACTAAGGGTCTCACCCCATGAATCTGCTGCCACAACACTGCCGAGTTTACGGAGACTTGACATCGCCGGGTTTACGGTTCTATGTCTGCGGCAGTGCCGGGCAGGATGGAGGCCACGCACGCCTCCCTTGTGGGAGGCGTCCGCGTGGGTGTGATGGCCTCTAACGTACTAGCACTGACCTCCAACCTTGTTGCTTGATGCAGTTTTGAGTTTGTGTCTTGTAAACTAGTAGCGCTGGCCTCCAACTAGCGATGACCTCCAACTTCCAACCTTATTGTTTGACGCAGCTTTCAGCTCGTGCCTTCTAAACTAATAGCGCTGGCCTCCAACCTGGTGCCATGGCCTCCAACCTACTATAGCGATAACCTCCCGCGCATGGTTAAGTTTGCGCAAGTAACCTACTAGCGATGGCCTCCAGAATTTGGGGCGATGGCCTCCAACCTACTAGCGATGGCCTACAACCTACCTTGTGCCCGTTTTACTCAGGCCCCTTTTTTCACCTAGGTTGCCGTATGGCATACGGCATCCAATTCTGTATGCATTATCTCAAGTGTGTCATGGGATCAAGTCTGCTCATGAATGTTTTAGCCATTTTAGCCACACTCCAATCGTAGAGGTCTTCAGGCTGTGGCAGGGTGATTCAGGTCGGCAGACGCACGTTCGTCTCACTATCCTTGAGTTTCGGAGTCTTCTTGCAGTTTTGGAAACACTGGGCCTTGAGGCCTTGAGAACTTTGTGAGTCACATGTCATACGCAGACCGCCTTACTTGCGCTTCCACCTGGCTTTCTTGAGCTTTCACTTAGGTGGGCGCGCGGCAAACCGCATTCAATTGCGTACGCAATTTCCCGAGAGTGTGCGCGCGTGCGTGTATTTGCCCAAAACGTCTCCAGAAACGGAACTAAACCGGACTTTCGTGTGCAATTTCGCAGGGTTTAAGGAAAGGTTTAAGAGGTTTAAGGAGAGGTGGGGATGGGAGGTGGGGTGGGGGATGCGGCATTTTGATCACGCAATCACAGCAAACAAGCATCAAGTCCACCATTCCGAGGCCGGCCGTTGGTCAGAGAGGATGCAGCGACATATAATGTCACATGGCTGACCAGAGTGCCTGTGATTCGATTTGTTCACGGGGCAACTCTATTTGAAGAACACGCTCGCCCTTGCCGTGGTCGCTTTTGTCCGCTGACATGGCAATCTCCAGAGACATGACAGGCCATTTCGTCTTGCAGCTTCAGGCGCACACAAGATTTAAAGCATGCACCTGCCTCGCACCTATATACGATTTGGCTATTTTTACAGCTTGGCGCAAGTGGAGAGGTTCAACTTTGGATCTTTCGTGAAGATTTCCTGCCGATTTCAAGTTGACATTAGGCACAAACAGGTGCCCAACCTGTCAGAGCTGTGGATCATTGACCCAGTCACGGCTGCGATAGGGTGATACAGTTGCAGTCTGCGTGACTGTGGGGATTGCAATCGGAGAGTCCTTTGCGCACTGTGAGGGCGGTGCAAGGAACGTTGAGGTTGCAGGTTGTTAGTCTCCGACAGTGTGAAAAGGAATCGGACAAACCTTTGCAGCACCTACTGCCACAGCCGTGTACGGAACAGGTTGAGGCTTCAGTGTTAGTTTGTGACAGTGGGGACACTTCCACCCACTCTGCCGGAGGACTGCCTGGTATTTCTACCATACGTGGGCAGGGACGAAATAGTATAATTGAAGACCTTCAATAAGTCCTTTGCGACAAAACACGTTCGCAAACCTCAGCGCGGATGTTTCGCGGATGGTTTGGACAGCATCTCAAAGGTCATAGTTTAGTGTGTCCGCCTTCTGGCAAGTCCTTAGTAGCAAATATTTACATTTATATATCTCCCAGTGTAGGCTATTGTGGCCGCCTTCTGGCAACTTCTCAATAGCAATTGTAAACTTGTTTCTGCCAGTCTGGGCTAGTGTGTCCGCCTGTAGCAATTCTTTGCATTTGTGTCCCAGTCTGGCCGTCCGCCTCTGGCAAGTGCTCAGTAGCAAACTTGACAGTTTTCTCCCAGTGTCCGCCTTCTAGCAAATCCTCGATAGCAATTCTTTACATTTGTCTCCCAGTGTGCTGGCACAAGCAATTATTTGTTATGGTCATCTTTCGAGACGCAGATTTACGGTGGTCTGCGAGTCAAGAGTTACATGTTTTCTCCACGAAGCTGGACCAGCGCATAAAGCATAACTATTTAGATAATTTAAAACCAAGTGTCAAAAAATTGAAGCCTAGAAACGTTAGGTCATCCAAGAAACATTAGGTCATTAGTTGAGGATACAGATCCTTGTGTTTGCGCCCGACACTCATATTTTGCCTGTACTGCATGTGCATGTGCTCTCGACAATCGGTGAAGAGGCAGACGCACAGTCTCGTCCCCTTGTCACAGGTTCAGAACATAACTGTACCTGTTTCGCAATGTTTCCCCAAAATATACCATGGCTACACCAAATCTGGAGAACGGGGTAACAGCATCATTTCGTAACCTGGGCCAACACCCCTAGCCTCAGCCTTTCTCAATGAGTCTCTAGACACAAAATTAACTCGCAAAGTAAATACAACCACAGTAATTACACCACATTGCATCAATACAGGCCAAGAATCTGTGGGGTCTTTTAAAGCAGAGACCGTTGCATGAAGCACCAGGTCTTCCAATCTCTTCACAGCATCTTCTAGGTCAGCCTGCAATGACTTACAACTGCTGGGGTACAAAACAATTAAATCCACACCACCCAGCCCCTGGCTCTGAGAGCCTCAGAATCTGCAAGCTTTTGAAGTGTGACCTTTTGAGAGCTCCTCACAGGTTCCACTTCTTCGTCACTTAACCTCACAACACGCTCTGAAGCTTCCGATTTCGTCCCACTCTGAACTCTGAACTCTCCGAGTTGCTGAGTTGTTTTCACTCTTCGTGAGCGTAGGCCATGAGGAGAGCTAACATAGCTAGTAGCAAGGTGTAAGTAGTAAGGAGCCCCTAGTAGCGTCCTTGCTCCTAGTAGTAAGGCTAGGAGCCCCTAGTAGCGTCCTTGCTCCTAGTAGCGATGCCAGGACCCCCTAGTAGCGTTCCTGTACAAAATAATAAGGAAGCTACTACCGATGTAGAAGAGCTCAGGCTTCAAGGAAGCTCCCCCTGCAGCACGGGGGGAGCTTCCTGGAACCCCCTTCGCGTGATTGCTTCGCTTGCTAAATTGTTTGAAACTTAACATTACTAAACAGAAACGGTGCATGAAACAGCATCGAAGAGGAAGTGTCTATTTACATTCTGTTCCCTATCCTATGAAGGCCGACTTTGTTCTCCAAGTCACACAGAAAGCGAATCAAACTTCCCGGAGCCTTTGTCAGCGAAGTTCGAGCTATTCGTTGGGTGCAGCTTGTCCTCATCCAAACAATGGGTCGGGCTGAAGTCCAAAGTAGGACTCGCGATTGTCGCAGCAAAAAGACTATACAAATCTAGTAATTCGGCTTTGGACTAGATCCTGTTCCTCCTGATTGATGCCAGGATTCTATTCTTCGCGCAAGCTCTATGAAGTTCTTTTCTATGCATCGTCGAAGCTCCGACTGCTCTTCTTTTATCCTGAGTCAAACAAAATAGTCTTTTGATGTTTTTTGAAACCTCAGCATGGCTCCATGGCTCTAATTGTTCAATTGGTTGACCACAGACAAAGCGCCATGAACAAGTTGGAGTCACAAGCTTCAACCCTTCAGCGATAAACATGGCTCCAAACATGCTACCCTACTGGTTTCCGCCACAAAGTCTCCAAACACAGTGATCCCGAAGTCAATAGGGAAAGGATTAATTCTTTGCCATGTTATGCTCCTTAAATGTTCCATGTTCTGTCTACTTGGACATGATTGCACTTGTAATGTAACTCGGCCCTCTTTAGTATGGCGCAGACTGGCCAGGCGGCTCTTCTTGTTGCGCCATCGCGCGCATCATGTTGTACTTGATAAATCCTTGGGCAATAATGTACTATTCATTCGGCCTCACTTCCAGCCGTGAATCTTGCTTGTTACACAAGTTGACAGTATGGTCATCATGACAGAGTTTGGTCACATGTATCTGCTCACCAAAGGTGTATGGCACAAACCAGGCGTCTCGGCGCTGTCTTGGAGTCGTGGACCCAACGGCTCAGCGGTCGAATAAACTCATTCGGCTCAATAAAGCCCGAGCCGTCTGTGTCGATCATCTCAAAAAGTTGGACCAAGTCCATCTGAGCTCAATCAAAAGTCTCTTCAAAATTCAATGATCTCTTCACAAACACCTGGACCTGTTCTGAGAGGCCCAACTTTAAAGAATTTAATCAATGCCTGCAAACCTTCCGCCCAGCGTGTTCCATCGACACCACACTTTCCAAATGTTCATGCATGCATAACTGCAGAACCAAAATTCATTTCAGGTTATATCTTATGTTCAAAAAACTGAATGCCTCATCAATGTCCATCACCCTCAACCGGCTTTGGAACTCCGCATCGTTCCGGGCTCCCTGCAAACAAGACGAACCGCACAATGCACACATTCATATTGAAATCAAAATACGCCAGCACCAAACAAAACCGCACAAACTAACAGTTCACTAACGTGCACCTTTGTGACCTGAAATGAGGGACTACACTGTCGGGGTTTCGGTTCACACAAGTTTTTCAAACTACAGTAGCCAAACGAGGATTTGTATATGGATGTTCTTCACTTGCACCCACTTGACAAGTTCTTCACTGCCTGCACAAGTTGATCCAAACTCAATTTGCCGGCATCCTTTAAGTCAATCCGTTTGAACATACGCTCCAAATACCTTGGTTCAATGTGAAAACTGGTTGTCATTGTAGTGCTCACAAACGCTTTCCAGGAATCAAAAGACATGCATATTTGTTGCCCTTTTTGTTCGTCATACCAAGCTGCGTTTTGTCGTGTGCAAGGTCTTGTTCCATCTCTTCAGCTAAATTGAGGACGTCCCGGTCGCGCGCGTCTGCGAAAGTATCTACAACCTAGCAGCACCAGCAGCACCAGCAGCAGCAGCAGCATCATGGGCAAATCAGCTGCAAAGAGGAGTGTGGCGATGTATCAACGATTCATTCGCATCCATTCGTCAATTATTGAAAACGCCAGCACATTGAGACAAGCTGCCACGGCGACAATCAAATTTAGTACTCCGAAAACTATCGTGAGAAGCGAGCCGACAAAAATGATGGCCGTGGCGGGATGAGCCCTGGGTTCCGCATCGTCGCCAAGCAACTCACGAACAATACAAATGTCTGACACAGCAGCACTTAGCTTTCTTGACTTGCCGTTGTACAGACTGCTGAAACACATTGCCCCATTTTGAAAACACATTTCGCATCACTTCGCCTTATTTTGAAGTTTGGCTGGCCTAGTAGTGCTTCAACCCAAAATCAAAGAAACGAGCACAAAACAATCCCAGGTGGTTTAACGCACCGGTGGCTGACGAGATGATAGTCCAACACCATCTGGCAGGTCTGCTAGTTTGCTCAGCTTGTTTGTTCGTGCCAAAGGGGCCTGCGCATATGTACGTGTGAAATAAGATGCTACACTTGATCATCGTCTCATGGCCGTTTGGCTCTCTGAACATCTCCATACTCAACTCCTGTCATTCCTCTACATGTCATGCTGGGATGTTCAATTGGAGTGGCCTGTACATCCTTACCAAAAAAAGCAGGATCTCTCAGTCGCACCGAAGGATTCTGGTGGACGATGTCGGGCCCCAAGCCTGATACTCCGGAAGGAACGTCTAATTAGACCTCATGAACTTGACGCTTGCGGAGACCCTTGCAGATGCTCTGCAGCCAAAGCATTGTCTTCGCTGCTTGATCATCTAAATAGCAGGAAGAACCATCACTTGTCGTTTCTCTCCATTGGTCTTGTACTCAGTCAAGCTCTTGACAAAGCGCATCAGCTTCCTCAGGACATCTTCTGCGCTGATATCCGGCAGGAGACAAACTAAACACGCGCGGTAAGGTGTGATGCGTCGAAGCCCCCCAAATATGGCCTGCCTTGGCGCAGCGTAGTCTAACAACACGCCAACCAGGCTCGTTCGCCGCCATCAGCCTGGAGACCCGCCTGAACCAGATCGACAGGAACTGCAGACGAAGCACAGCAACCTCTTGTAGAAGACCGGCATGGCTCCGCAGTTCGTCAAGCTCGCGACCAAGGCGGTCCAACATTGCTCTATCTGCAGGAAGTATGTCAAAGGTTCAAAGCAACCACAACCCGTCGGAAATTGAGCCATCGTTGGCAGAGTGAGCGCCTTCTTCAGGCAGCATCTACGTCGTCGAAGTTCTGGGCGGGTTGCGTGCCAGGTCACCCGGCGTCGCCTGATGGCTCATGTACCCCATGTACCTGGGCCAGATGCCAACTTGCAGAAGGGCGCCCACGACGCATTGTCAAGATCAAGAGACTGACTAGCAAGATATTTCCTGCGCCTGCTACGCGCGCGTTGAAGAAGCCCTCTGTCCAGACCATCACCGCTGCCACGCGCGTGGGTATATATATATATACATATGTGTGTGTCTTGGATGACTGCAGGCGCGTGAGCCTCTTCAAGATCTTTGCCCTTGAGGATGCAGATTCACATCCTTTGCCCATGTCTGGAGGCGCCTGCTTCAGCAGTTGAGCTGTTCTCGCGGGACCAGTTGGACCAGCGCCTTTCAAGTGAGTTGAAGCACAACACAATCTCCACATCGGAGCCCAGTGCGCTCACAGCGATTGTTGGATCCAAAGCCAGTGGGCTTAGGGCTTGAATGGGCTTCACAATGGGATAGCCAGATACCCACGCTCATCTTGCACTCCTCGCACGCGCTGACCTCGAAGCCGACTCGCGTATAGCCTGGGGTTTGGCGATTCTCCGAAAGCTCTTGCCACCGTAAGGCTGTTCCAGGATGTAGCGTCGGCCGTGAGCATTATGCTCTTCTGCAAGGTCTTGACAAAGTTGAAGAGCTGGTCGACCAAGCAGTCATTGTTCATGTCGTTTCTCATCTGGATATTTGGCGGGCGCAGCAAAGGATGCCATAACCCCATCGAAGGGCCCAGTCAATGACAATCTTCCGCTGCCGCTGAAGAGCTCCCAGAAGCCAACCACCTTGTCCTCGAACTCCTCCGGAATCGCCTTGTAGCGCTTGCTCAAGTTTGCGCGAGGATCAGCCATCTCGAGGGTCGCGTCACCAACATAGCTCAGGAAGACCTTCTCATCTTCAGTAGCGGGAAGGATGTCGTTGATGAGGCTTGTCTTCCTCGGCGTCTTGCTCTTCTGGAACTGGTGGCAAGTTCATGGTCTTGTCATGGATGGTCTGGTAATCGTAGGGCGCGATCTGTTAGCAGCGTCAAAAACTTGACTCAAGGTCATGGTCATGGTCGCACGGTCATCCTCTGCTGCCGTCTAGGTATGAAAGCAGGGTCCAACACATGGTAGCACGTTGATGCGTTGAACCAGCAACTTGCAACTTTGCTTCACCCACTGTCTTGGATGGCATCCCTGCGTTCTTGAACCAAAGGTGGAACTTGCATCACTGTACCAGGTACCAACTGTCCAACTCGATACTGTCAACAACCTAAGCTCTCCGCGAGTCAGGTCAAAGAACTTGTCGAGGGCCGGAGAACGTTCCTTGGCTTCGCCAAGAGCTGAACTCCCGCGTTTATGTGGTTCTGGTGGTGGCTCCCGTGTTAGGACCCCTGACCTCGTCGAGGCCAGTCTCAAGAGGGCCATCATCGTAGGAGCCATCCATCCGGTCTCGACATTGGCAACATACCAAAGCTGCAGCTTGTCAAAGTATATAGGTCCTCAACAGGTACGATGCATCACCAGTGGATCCGTCCTGGCATACCACTTGTAGTACAGGATGTGTAGCAGGATAGTGATGAGGCTCTCGAGGACGTAGTGCTGCCACTGAGCAGCGTCACGCAATCACCGGCTGTCCACCTTCTCTTTTCATATTCTTCTTCTCCTCAGTGACCACCGGCTGGAATTCGGCCTCAGTGACCACTGCCAGGCCACACCCGCAGGCTGAGACCTATCCCGCTGGCCCTGGTAGCCGTGCCGATCGCTCGATGCTTATGGCGGCAACGGAGCCAAGGGGGAGGCTCCGCTACCAAACTCGGACTGCAGATATGTATGTCGTGTGGAACATGATGCTATATGTGACATGTGTGAAACATGATGCGACACTTGATCATAGCCTTATGGCCGTAAACCTCTGTGGCACGTCCGTACTCGATTTCACTACTTTGATATGACAGGTAACAACAATGCTAACGAGTCTTGCTGTCCAAGCATCTCAATGACCGGTACAGCAATTTTACCCCAACTGTCGCCCGCGATGACTGTCTTGAAGAGCAGCAAGTTCGCATGCATCACACTTGAGGTTGCACGTAGGCATTGATTGCAGTCTGCAAAAACGCTTGTGTTGGCATTCAGCTCCTGACATCATCAAGGCTTCTTCCTGTACTAATGGATATTGGAAAGTTGGCTCCTGTATCAATGGGTGCACTAATTCCACGAGAAGCATGGCCCATATAGTCATGACGATGAAGCAGAAAACGAAGGACCAGGCCAAAGCCTGTGTGTGAATCGATCAAAGGTCTGACTTGCGAAAGGAAAGCAATGTACAGTAAAAGTTTGGCCCTCAGTAGCTTTAGTCCAGCCTTGAGACAAGTGGAAATCATGGTCACGAGCCTGGGATCATTGTGCAAAGGCTCACACTTGGAAATGTGGGGAGACCGAACAACCGAACGTACAGGCTCTTCGTCCATGGCACAACTGCGCATCGATCCTCACAATGGAAACTGTACCGGGCACCCAAAGGCATGGTAATTGCGGCATTTGCTCCACAAAGAGCCCCTTCTAAGTCGCAAAACAGGACGGCAAGCACCAAGGTGGCCACAGCCGAAAATTGCATCAGTGTTCTGGGTGGAACCTCCCATTCGCCAAATGCGCCGGATGGTTTGAAGAAACAGTTTTGCTGATCTTCTCATAGCGTCAAGGAAGCACACTGACCATGGTACTCAGGACAATACAACAGCATTCAGTCCGCCAGATAACGTGTCACTATGCGGCCTCATTTTGTGCATGAATTATGCTAACCAGCTCTCTAGAAATATATAGCTGCTTGTGCACTCCCTTTCTTTCTTTTTTTCTGGACCTTGCACCAGTTTCTCACCCAGTCATCGTCTTTTGTAGGAGTCAAACCCTTCCGGATCCTAGTCTGTCAGCAAATGACGTCAACGCTGTACCTTTACGTAACTGGGCTATACACCTCCCTTTCTTGCTTTATTTCTTTCTCTCTCTCTCTCTGCCAAGGTTTCTTACTCCTGTAGCAACTCCTGTCCCCTCACTGCATTACTTCCTCTAGTTGTGGCCACCGTTTTTGGCGCATCACCCGCTCGCCCGCACGCCCGCACGCACGACAGCACTGGGACACTATCACCAACATGAGCACATGGAGACCAGACAAGACTCAAGGCGTCAGCCTGATTGCAGAGTAACTTTTTGTTCTGCGTTCCTTCTTGGAAAACTCGTGACGGCTCTACGCTTTTGTGAAAATGCAAATCCATCCTCACCTATTTCAAGGCCACTCCACTTCTCCCACATCTGACAAGGAGCTTCTGAAGCTCTCTCAAGGCTCGGATCTTCCCGAAGAGCCGAACCAAGCGAACGACTCGCCCAAGTCGCAGCAACCGGAGAATGCTGAGGATGCTAACCCTGTCAATTAATCAAAATGTCGTTCCAAGCTCTGTTCGGAAATCTTACATCTATATACTCAAGCAGATAGGTATATACAATGGGTTCGATCTTGCAAAACAGTTCAATCAAATCTAAAGACTGAAGCAAGACAAAGTGCAACTCCTGAATCCCCCTTGGTGTCTTGCGTATCCTTCTTGCACTGTCTTGGACAGCCACAAATCTTTGAAGCGCCTGGCTGCGAGATCTGATGCTACTGAATCCAGGATCATTTCCAAGAAACCGCAGACAATGACACCTCGGTGATGGCTAACCGAAACACAAAAACTAGGCCAAGAGTGAAAACAGTGCAACAAATCCAGAAATGATCTTGTAGTTGCAGACACATCAAAAAGAGGAAGATGCAGAATGGGCTTTCAGCCAACAAAAGATGCTGAGTCGGTCTGTTCCACCTTGAGTATCTGCTCCCTCGTTATCAACCAAGGATCAAAGATCCAAGATAAACATGCTATCCTTCAGAACAGAACGGCCTGGCAAAAGAGCAAAAGCTTCGACGTGGTCAAGCGAAAAAGCTGCTGAAGGCTACAAGCAAAAAGATTTGTCTCCATGGCCTGCTCCACATGGTTTGAACAACAGTGATGCCAAAAGTAGTAGCACTAGCAACCATTCCATATCATTGTACTTGACATGCAGTCCTTACACCTTCCAGAACGGGGTGGCTTTGAGTCGTCCCAAACAAGAAGCATCTGACCCTGCGGATCTTCTATGTGTCGATATGTTTCGGCCATGTACATAGAAATACAAGAAGTTGGTGCACCGGGTTTTAGAAGTGTGAGGGCCTTGCAACAACAAGCTACTTGCTTTGCTTCACCTTTGCTCCTATAAAGAAATTTGTTCACAGAGACTGCAAAAATATGATGGGTCCATATCAAATCCATGTGTAGCTATATGTAGCCCACAAACTAGTTATTAGTTGCTTGCTTGCATGTAGACAGTACTCAGGCTTCCTGACGCAAGAAATCACCGACTGCCTTGTCCTACGGTCAGCAGAATTACTTCAATAGTGTACCTCAGCAGCTGGAGGCTGACGACGAGGTAATATTGTCACATAGATTTCAAATTCTATTCCGTGCCATACAGGACTATCCATGGTTGTTCCTGCTCCGAAATACAAATAATACAGTAGAGTCTTGTAGCCTGCGTATAAAAAAGCTGTGCTGTCGCAGAAATGTGTTATGTCATGTCTGAGAGTGTCAAGGTAGCCAGACTGCAACAAGTGCTCATGGTCGCTTCACTGTAGCTGCCTACTTGCTGCGCTTGCGGTGGTGCTAGCCTCTGTGGCATTGTGTAAAGCATAACTGCCGTCAGATTGTGGATGCTTCCTTTGAAGCCAGAAAGCAAAAACACATTGTCAAGGAATCCCCAAGATCAACAAAAATCCCGATTGATCCTCAGAAATCAAGCAAATCAGCAGGAGTGTCCACAAATCATCGGCAAACTGGGAATCGCAACCAATCTCATTGGAGTCTCCTTTTCTTTCCAACGCGTCCATGGCCCTCTGGAGTCTCCAAGAGACAAGCCAACCACAAATTATTCATCCAAGCAACAGTGACAGGCAAACGACGGAGCCTCCATGGCGCATTGAAGCAACAAAGGTCATTGCTCAAACTCTGACACAACGACGACTCAAATGTGGAATCACCAGGCCTATTTGGAGGATCTCAGGCGGCCGCTCCTCTTGAGCTCGAGCGTCAATGTCGCTCCAGTTACAGTAGGCATCGAACAGGACCACAAAAGCCATGAACTGAGTGATATACCTGAGAAGCACCAAAGCCCAAAACGTTTTCAGGCCGCCATATTGCTGTTTGTTTTTTGGAAAGATGCGGTGAGAGGAGTGTGAGAATTTCCTGACGTTCTGCAAGCCCAAACAGCACTCCAGCTTGGCCCGGTTTCTCGATCAAGCGACGGATTGGTGACGATCCGCTTGGCCCTTCGGCGAATGCTGTTCCGAAGGCTCGCTTCAAGAGCCAGGGAAGAATTCTGATGTGGAGTCGAACGAATGAAGTCGCTATGAATCGTCGCTTTTGGACCTCCAAAGGACAGGACTAACAGTCGTTGCAACTCGAAAACGCATTGCAAAGAGACCTTTCAACTAGGTTCAATAAACACAAACACAAATATTTGGTCGCAAAACGTTATACGGACAATGCTGTCTGTGTTGCATGCAGACTCTCAGCAGTCAATGCGTTTGCGTTCCATGCACCTGCGGGACTTTTGCGGCCATTCTTGCTACCGTTGCCTAAGTAGAATTGAGAGATCTGAAAAGATGTGTACATCATTCAGTCCATATCGTACCTTGTCGGACATGTTCTACGAAGTTGGTCATGAAACTGGAGACTCCAAGAACCATTCCCAACAGGCAATGATTTTGCTTGAACAGAATAGGCCCAACATTGTTTCAGCCAAAGCTGCTGTTGTCACCACCACCTTCCCAGAATCGCATCCAACTGGATGCAGAGGCTGACATGAGCTCTAAAAAGTCTTGGTCAGCGATCAGCGACGATCAGCGACGTGCAAGACTTGACTCATCACAATTGGGTGACTGTCCTTTTGCTGTGCGAGTACTTGACTTGAACTTCAATGCCGATTGGGCATCAACGTCTTCCTTAAAATGTACTATGTTAGCATCCTTGGTGTTGAAATGCGCTAGTTGGTGTTGATAATGTTCACATAGAGACTGAAATCAAATTACGCACACCCTGATACTCCATCTGTTTGTGTTCTCCGGCCTCCTGAAAGAAGGCAACAAAGCCGAAACGTTGCGGGACACATGTTGCTTGCTGCCCTGCCAAACGAAAGACCAATCCAAACCCATGACCCAATGGAAGTCATGCAGAATTCTATAAACACTTCCTTAATTTCCCTTCAGCTTTCTCACCCTGGAGCATTCTTCTTCGCTCAAGTAGCCGCCTTTCAATTGTATGTTGCTATAATATGTTGCTCCTGGCCTGGTTGCACAGGATAGCAGGGTATGGCGTCTAGGGAGCAGCAATGACTCTTGTTTCGGATTGTTCTTGCTGCAGCACACCAAATGCTCTGCTGTGAACTTGGACAGCTGCCTTCTGGACATGGAGTGCGTGGCGGGTTTTCTGTTTGTCGGCCGAGGTGAGCTTTGCCTCCTAGTACAAAAAGCTTATATGCAAAGTTTGAGCGCAATAGGTGCTTGTGGCAAGGTACCAATTTGCTCACCTCATCACACCTTACCTCCTCCAGCTACGTTCTTGCTCTTCCCAAATGTATCAAAAAGACGGGCCAATTGCTTCACCGAACTTGCATAGAAGCTTTCTTGCCATTATCCTGCTGCAGACTTTAAGGTTGGCAACAAAGCGATTACAGCAACAAAAGAGTCGACTTATGACAGATTCCACTTCAGCGCGTTTGACCCCTTGACATGGAACAACCCTATACTGTAATACTATGGTCGCTCCGCTCTCTTTTGTTACTCCAACTTGGCCTCAGCAATGAGGACTGCGTTCAGTGCGGCCCCACGTAGTAGCTGGTCACCTGGGCAAACAACTTGGGCTTGGACCAACAAAGGGTCGATTGCCTCAGCACGCTCCAGGCCTGACACAAATAGGTCCAAGCCTTTGGGAGCAAAGATCAAAGATCGGCGGATGCGGCCAACCTGGTCGGGTGGAGTTGAAGCAAAGCAAGCAAAGCTTTGTTGTGACTTGAGAGAGTGAAGGTGAACAGCTGTTCAAGACACTGCGAGAGCCAACGAACAAACTCGTGTCATTTGACTCATTGGTCGAACTTTGGAGCCAAAGCTTTAGAAAGAAAGAAAGAAAGACAGAACGAGACATGTCAAAAAAGCTGAGATCTCAAAGACTCACCTCCACGTCATATTTTTTAGTTGATGTCAAAGGCATGGGATACCTTGGCAAGGGCTCTACGCACTTTGGTCTTCAGGAGCGGGCTAAACCTTTCTGGCCAAAAGGGCCATTCGAACTACTCTGAGGCTGCACTGCTGCTAGAAGTTGAATATCCAGCTCTGTAGCACCACTTCATGAAACCAAGCGGCACTTTTTCGGATGGGCTGTCAACCACCTGCCACCCAGAGACTCATGAGACAAAAGCAACTTCAGGCAAACAGAAGGGGCCCAAGCACTTCTTTTTTCGTTGTCTCACTTGCCAGACAGAGTCTTGTGTTTTTTTGAAACTGCTACGTAGAGCCAATCGGTGGTAGCGGGGGTCAACAGTCGCGGGTCAACAGTGCCATGACTCAACATGGTTGAGAGTTGCAATCAAGCCTCCCACCCCCTCCTGGTAGGTGAGGTTGCGATTGATTGATTAGTCTCTTCAATTCTGGGGTGTACATCGAAGGGTGGCAGCACAACCTTGCACTGTTTTGTGCAGAGCTCTCCAGGAGATTCTTGAAATTCCGAAAGGCCTGTTTCAACCGCTGCTTGGGATTTGAGACAAAAAGTTGAAGAGCAGCAACATGGTCCATTAAAGCCCTCAAACTCCAAGACCCTGACCCCTCCAACGAAGATGACCCCACTCCCTTGCAAGCGCCCAGGAATGTCTAGGTTTCCGATCTACCAGCACCATCCGGTGTTGCTCGAGTGCATCAGGCCAACCATGACTTTAGACTTCAGCAAGCCACCTCCACACCAGGTGCAGACTTCAGGACTTCGATGGCTGCCTCCGGAGTTACATCCTGGCTTCGCAACTGCAGCACAACTTGAGGCCAGGGGGAGGGGGTCAAAAGCTAGCCACAACGCTAACAGGCCAGCAGCAGCAGCAGCAGCAGCAGCAAACAAGCAGCAGCAGCAGCAGCAAACAAGCAGCAGCGGCAGCAAACAAGCAGCAGCAGCAGCAAACAAGCAGCACAAAGCAAGCAGCAGCAGAAAACAAGCAGCAGCAGAAAGCAAGCAGCAGCAGAAAACAAGCAGCAGCAGAAAACAAGCAGCAGCAGAAAACAAGCAGCAGCAGAAAACAAGCAGCAGCAGAAAACAAGCAGCAGCAGAAAACAAGCAGCAGCAGAAAACAAGCAGCAGCAGAAAACAAGCAGCAGCAGAAAACAAGCAGCAGCAGAAAACAAGCAGCAGCAGAAAACAAGCAGCAGCAGAAAACAAGCAGCAGCAGAAAACAAGCAGCAGCA